GAAACCATATTTTTTGGTAGAGAGTAGGTCGAGAGAGGTAAGATGCTTAACCATTTCAGCACTGAGTAAAGCCTCAAATACTTTCAATAATACTTTACTTACAAGTGGGTTAGTTTTACTGCATTAATTTAAACAGTTTTCCTATTTGCTTTAACCGGTTTCGCCTTTAGCTTTTTAACTTTTTTTTAACTATTTATATTTCTATGTGTTGACGCTTATATTTTGAAGAAATGAAAACATCAAGGCGAGTCACTGGCTTTATATGTCGCTTATTGCAAGGAAAATATTGCAGAATCTATTTTGAGGGATATATATATATATATATATATATATATATATATATATATATATATATATATATATATATATATATATATATATAAGGAATAAACATACATAGAATCAATCAGCAATATTAATGCGATTAATGGCGAAATCACTTCGCTAGTAAAACATAATGTATGCATTAAAATACTGTTAATCCATTGAATGATGTGATTCTCATTTATAAAACTGTTGCCAGATGTTTCTAGTACTTTCGAAGATCCATGTCCCCATCATCAGGCTGTAATTTTTTTCCTTTAAAGTTAAAACTTGAAGACGAAATAATTGTTTGTAGACCGGAAGATTTTTTTTTTTTAAGAAAGTGCTATTTATTGACGGTTGTATAATCTCGAAACGTGCGAGTCGCAACGTTAAATTTCAAATATATATATATCTATATATATATATATATCTATATATATATATATATATATATATATATATAAAAAAGATATATAAAGAGAGAGAGAGAGATATATATATATATATATATATATATATATATATATATATATATATATATATATATATATATATATATATACAATCCACATCTTATCTCAAATAACAACTTAAGAGACTATTTGACCAACACAATGACTGACCAAAATGCATGTTAAAAAAAATTAAAATCAAATGAAAAATACTGACAAAAGTTTATTTTCTCCATCAAGACATTCATTTCTGTAGTTCACTGCTACCAGCAAACAGAAATATTTTTCATCTGATGATGGCCATGTTGGCCGAAACTAGTCGAGGAATCTAAATGAAATAATAATAAAAACGAAGGAATAATTAATATACAACCAAGTGTGTCTGAAGATTTTATTTTTTTAATGTTTTTATTGTTCAATATATATATATATATATATATATATATATATATATATATATATATATATATATATATATACACACAGAGAGAGAGAGAGAGAGAGAGAAGTGAAATGTATAATCAGTCGTAAATGGAAATATTTCTGATTTTGGTCTCTTATGTCCCTCCGAATATTTAACCAACTAATTAGAATGCTTCCGAAGATGACTGTGATTTTAACTATAGGTGACGTGTGACGTTGTCTTATTAAAATCAGTTTCCCAGCCAATCAAAATGCCAAACGTCATCAGTCGAGATCAACAAGTTCATACCGAAAGGGTGTATTGCATAAATGCTATAATCAACAATTGCCTGTCCAAAATAAATACAGGATGAATATGTTTGGCGAAATTTGTTTTGCATTTAATCAATGTGGGATAGAAGAGGAACCAACAAGAAGACGTTTCTTTTTTAATCATTTCACTCCAAGCAATGCGTTATAGAAGACACAAGGTCTCACTGAGGAATGCGTTTCTGAAAACTTCGGACATCTTTTGCTCACCAGTTCACATCGTGACAAGATTGTAATGTTCCCGTGTTCTTCGTCAAGCGATATGCGCCAGCTGCCATTCATTTCTAAGAATTTAATAATTTCTCCCTCTGATGTGGAATGTTATCATACGAAGGAAATATCTATCTCTTGCAGATAAGAACAGTCAGCATTTGTCTTTGGCGATATTGTGAAGATGACGTGAGAATGTGTGGAAAAATATCGAGTAACACTTGAAACTTTTATCAAGACAACGTCGCCAGGTCTTGGAGCGTGCAACATCATTTTTTTTTTAAAATAACAACAAAATAGTTGTCTATCTTTTCCCCCTGTTCGTCCGAACTTGCACTATGCACAGATTTTGCTGCTTCGAATGACTCATGCCCTGAAAAGGTGAAAAATTCTATTGACGTGGACTGAGTGAAACCGAAAAATGATAAATGCTGTGTTTCAATATTTGCTTGGTTTTTAGTTATTACCTACCTTTCACTATTTGAAATCCCTGGCTCAGACTGGGCGAAAAGTTCCACGGAAAGCGAGTAGAAACGAAGGGATGTTAAAGTTCTTAGTCGAGAATTCGTCTAACTTGTTTGGTCCGGTCGCATGCGATAAAAAACCCGACTCACAAGAATGATACCGAATAATAGAAGAATAGAAAAAGAATTGTAAATAGCATTAATTTTATTTCAATTTAAAAAAAAAACTTCAAATGATACAAAATAATTATGGTTTATGAAATGAGGTAACAGCACATATACTGAGTTTTATTATCAGTAGTTTTTCGGTTTTTTTTACTCAAAATATAGAATTCAAACTATAGATAGTTAATCCTTTTTGAAGAGATTAAAAATCATGTATTTTTGGTGACGGGTTGCCGGTAATATTTTCTGACGTGATTAAAAATTGTGCCCCCCCCAAAATTCAGGGGTCTCACTGCAATATAGGAATAACTCTTCTAAAGCCTTATTTGACTAATTCAGCCTTAGTGCTAAAAATCGTCTATTTTATGGCGATGGTTTAAAAGCAAGAGAGGGGATATTCTTATTTTATTACCACACACACTATACGCGTAATCAGAATGTATAAAAGTATATAGAAGTCCTTTAAATGTTCCCATAAAACTAGAACAATCTAGTCCGGTGGGCGAGGATTCGTTTCAATATTCCAATCACCTAATGAAGTCCGGAGCAAACAACGTCCGAAATGTAGGGAATATGGAAATGAAGATGAGGATAACCGTCCGAATAATGTAAATAATGGAAGTAACTTATAACTAATAGAATTAGAATAAATAGTATAAGAAAGTAGAAACCCGCTGAAGGAAGAAAGAAATAAGATGAAGAGGAAGAAAATAGAGAATATATAAGAAGAGGGAAAAAGGAGAGAATGAAATAGAAGGAGAGGAAAAGGCGGATAGGAAAGAAGAAGTAGAAAAAGTAAAAAGAAGAAAATAAGGGTGAAAGACTGGAAGAGAAATAAAAGAAAGAGGTAAAGGTCAAGAAGAAAGAGAATGAGAGAGAAAGAGAGAAGGTACCTGGGTAAAAGAGTTGTAAGAAAATAAAGATAAAAAGGAAGAAAGAAGAGAAAAAAGAAGAATAAGAATAGAGGAAGACGAGGCCGGATGGCAACAACAACAAGAAAGAAAGAAAGAAAGAAAGAAAGAAAGAAAAAAAGAAAGAAAGAAAAAAAGAAAGAAAGAAAAATACCCAACGGATCTGTCCAAAGAAGAAGAAAGAAAGAGAGAAAGAAAGAAAGAAAGAAAGAAAGCCAAGCAGATCAGTTTAAAGAAGAAAGAAAGAAAGAAAGAAAGAAAGAAAGCCAATCGGATCAGTCAAAAGTGCGAGCTACGTATAGAAGATATCAAAATCAAGCAAGTATGGATGTTTAAATGTATAGGAAAGGTTTTCACCGATGAGGGAAAATATGGCCCAAACATGCGTCGGAATAGCGAAAAATGCCTTCCAAAAACTAAACACAATATTAAGAAACGGGAAAATTTCATTACAAACAAAAATAATAACATTGAAAATCTATGTGATATCAATCCTCGTATATGGCAGTGAAAACTGGACAATTTTCTTAGAGATCAAGAGCAAACTGGAGGTAACAGAAATGTGGTACTACAGAAGGATGCTGAGAATACTATGGACGGAGTATATCAGCAACGACGAAGTTTTAAATAAAATCGAAACAAAAAGGACATTTATATATAATACGAGAAAGTTGAAATTTGTAGGAAACAAATTGATGAGGAGCAGGCTTAGAAAATTTGAGACTCATACGGCATATCGAAAACAAGTGGTGCAGAAGAAAATATCTACCTAGTAAATCTAGCGATTTTCCAAGCGTAGCACGGATGTGGTACAAGGCCGAAAGTATGGGGTACCCAGTGAGGATCGAACTTACTACTCAGTTGTAAATGTTGTAGCAAGAAAAGCTTGCTAACCATTACACCACCTCGAGGTGCCCCTACCTAGTAAATCTATACTGTAAATGGATGTCTGAACAGTGGCCGGAGAAGGTTAGTAAACTTTCAAACATTGGTAAAAGTTCCAAAGGATAATCCCTTATCGAGAGCCACGAAATCCGCACCCAGAAAGGACGTGGAACGTGGCAGAACGAACAAGATCAATATTTAAGCTGCCATTCTACAATGATGGAACCGTGTCTTTAGAACATTTCTTCTTTATTGGAATCCTTTTAAATGCACTTCTGTTTCGAAATTCCCAATCAGAATTTTTCAGCTAAGATAAGAACCAATCATATACAATTTTTTTCCCATTTTATAATTATTTTATTTTATTTTATTTTTTTTCTTCCAGGAATCATACTGATTAGGCCAGTTCATTTGAAGAGTGTGGACGTGTGGAGGAAGCGGAATTTGATTTCTTCGATACCCAATTGGTTTTAAATGGATTATGCAAGTCTGGAGAGCAGGTGCGCGCATAAACTTTGCAAAACAAATGATGACAACCGAGAAAATGTAACTGTATGCGTCACTTCCAGTGGCGGCGGGGGTCTGTACGAGATAAGCTTACCGAATATACGTTTCTTATATTCCCTTAATGTTTTTTTTTTCTTTTCACAAGGGTTTGCTTCTTCCAGATTTGGGTTACTTTTTATTATCACCAATTTTCAGGTGAGTCCTTTTTTCCCTCCCTCATTATGAATGTTTGTTTTATTTTATTTTAATTCTGATATCCTTTCTTTTATTAAGCAGTTTTTTCTTCTCTCCTTACGAATGTTTCGATATCCCATTTGCTCAACATAATCTTTCTTTTTTTTTTTTACTTTATTCGTTAATCTTATCTGATGTCCTGTTTCTTATTTTCTTCAAATCCATTTTTCCTTTTTTTCTTCTTGATTCTATTTTTCTTTCTTTTGTTACTGTTTCGATTTTTCTTTGTTCGTCCTTTCTCTCTTAAGTTCTTTTTATTCATTCTCAAATTATTTCTATTTGCTTTTTTATGTTTCTTTTCTTGTAAGGTAAACTCTTTTTTCTTTCTTTCTTTCTTTCTTTCTTTTTCTATCTTTCTTTCTTTCTTTGTGCCTTTTATTCCCCACCGCCATATTATATGGAATACAGGCGACTTTTTCATGTTCTCTTTTTATCTTCTACCTTTGTTCATTTACTCCTTATTTCTGTCTTAAGTAATCTTATTTGTCACACTCGACAGGATTTCTTTTCTTTCTTTCTTTCTTTCTTCTATGCATATATGTTCATTATATGTTTCTTATCTTTTTTTTATTTTTTCTTTCTTTTTAAAACTCACTTTCCTTTCTTCTTCGTAATTTTTGTTTGTTCCTTTTTTTCTACAATTATCTTTTTATTTCCTTATATTTCTTTTCCCAGGTTTTCTTTCTTTCTTTCTTTGTGTCTTTCTTAATACCTACATTTCCCTTTCTCCCTTGCTTCTTTCTTTCTTTCTTTATCTTGATTATTAGTTCTTCTCGGCTTTCCTTTCTTATGCGGCTTCCTTTTCTTTCATCCATTTATTCTTTCCATCTTTATTTTATGTTTTCCTTTCTCTTTCTTTATTAATTGATTTTTTCATAACTTTCCATTTTTTACGCCTTTCTTTCTTTGGTAAATCGATAGTTTTCTTTCTTTCTGTCTTTCTTTTCTTTCTGTCTTTCTTTTCTTTCTGTCTTTCTTTTCTTTCTGTCTTTTTTTTCGATGCTTTTCTTTTTCTTTCTTACATTTATTTCTCTCGTATGTTTTTGTCTTTATTAAAGCGTTACTAAAAGTTCTTTCTTTCTGTCTTCCTTCCTTTCTTTCTTTCTTTCGAAATAAAAAAAGAACACTAAGGTGAAGCTATTTCCATCGTTATTGGAGTGTTAGAACAAAGTAAAAGATTCCGAACAATTAGTGATACGAGGCAGAATTTAAAAGAAAAAAAACACATGCAGAGGAGAACAACACAGAACTTCCGGAATAATGAAAATCCTGCTATCATCTTCAGGAGACTTGCTTCCACTCAGTGTTCACCGGTAGCACCTAATGTGAACAAGCAAATTCTGTGTATAATAAATAAAAATCCGATCGTAGAGAAACGAAATTTTTTGAGCTCTTTTTCCTGAAAAATGTTCTTATCTATCATTCAACATACCTCAATATTTTCAGATATTTTTCAGTTCAATGTTTTTTTTTTCTTCTCACAATCTCCGTACGATGGTACGGAAAAGTCATTACATTTTTATCATTTTATCTGATTCCTTTCAAGTTTCACCTGCATTAGTTTCCTACAAAAAAACCTGAATCAATGATTTCGTTCTTTTATTCTGTAACACTTAGGTGGATACATAACAACTGTCCCCTAAAAGCTGTTTCGAAAATAACTTTGAAAATCTTAGAGAGTTGAATAAATTAAATAGTTATTATATTATATTATAAATTACCAATAGAAACTTACGACCGGACCAGGTAAAAGGTGTCACAATGTAGGACCGAACTCTGTCCAACATGACGAGTTTGCAGTCTTCGCATGTAGCAAGCATATGGAAATTACAATTCCTCGTGAAGCTATACTCTGTACCTAGATAAATACTGACGTGCAACTGTCAGGTTTTGAAAATATTTTCAGTATATATATATATATATATATATATATATATATATATATATATATATATATATATATATATACCTTCTGATACCCTTGGGAAAGGTGCGAATCCTCTTCTTCTCCCTCCAGTGCAGACTGGGTTCTATAGCCTTGGATAGCAACTGGTCTAAAGGAAGGAAAACTCTGAATTCAAAACCTGCGGAGGGTCGTTTGGGGACCTTGTGGCACGTAGTGCACCAGGTCTCTGTGTTTGGCCCTTCAACAAGTGTGGATAGTTCTGCACAAAACCTTCACCGTTATAATCAAATCGCATGTGCTGGTGTCAGGCTGTCAGTTTCCTAGGAACTGATATGCTTAACCCTCATACGTCGAATTCGACGGGAGAGTCGAGTATATATATATATATATATATATATATATATATATATATATATATATATATATGATTTCTAATTTTGTCGGCTGCAAAGTATAGTAAGATCAGTTGGTCACCGTCTGTAAGAAAAATAACACGACGCGGCAATTCACTCTACCTACAATTTGGAAACGGTATACTATACTGCTTGGCATTCGCAGCGGAATCTTCAATTCGAACATTTCAGAGAGTTTGTCAATCTGAGGACATTGCCGAAGATTGGAAAAAAGGTGTATAATATATCCAGTCAACATCATTGTTTTTGGAATGATCATTAGTGATGGCGAGGTTATGCCATCATTCATCTTCCCACGGGACATCAGACTCAACGCGGAGGCTCACATCAGGTGCCTTGAGGTAGCGCTGGGTCAAGAAGATGTCTGCTGGAAGACACAATGTCTGGCAATAGGACTCTGCATTATGCCACATAAGCAGGAGAACACAGTCATAGCTGTCAGACAATTTCTACGGCCACATCACTCCTTACATATGGCCACCTAACTCCCCAGACTGCAAACAAACTCCTGGTTACTATGCGTGGGACTCAGTTGTGCGAGAGACCAACAAATATCCTCATTACACCAAAGATGAACTGAAGGTCAGGATTATGGCAGCATTCACCAACTTAAACAGGGAAACCGGCCAGAAATTTACTCTTGAGTATTTCACGATATTCCGTGTAATTTTGGTGTATATATATATATATATATATATATATATATATATATATATATATATATATATATATATATATATAATTTCTTGTAGGCTATATTACCATTACAATTATGTCCATCTTTTGAAACAATTTTAAACTATACCTATGCCAAGGATTTATGGTCAGCGAATCAGATTGAGGAATCGGAGAGCCGAGTACGAATTCCTGTCGGGTTCCTTACGTGCTAATACTTTTGGAAAAGGTATGAATCCAACAATTCTCCCTCAACTATGGGTAAATAGCAGGACATACTGGGTTATGTAGCCTTGGGTAGGAATCGGTCTAGGAGAATGTGAATTTAAACCAGCTTGGATCACGTTGGGTTCCGTCAGTGTATCTTGCTCAAGACACACTGATTCTAGTGCGGGTGAAGGAGATGTGGTGACCCTACGACTATAATGGGTTACGGGACTCGTGATCGTGATGCCTATCTATCTATTAATTCATATTGATATTTGTCCTTTAAGAATCATATTCGGTTATAAATAAGCCCCCAGATCCTTGATAACATTAATCATTTCCCTGCAAACTTATTATTTTACAGACGTCGGTATTTAACTGTTCTTATAAATTCTAAAGAGTAAATTCATCTTGACTGGATACACACAAATTCCATCCTTGGTTCAAGCGAAAGACAGTTTTATACATATCCATGTCTGATACGAAAGGAAAAAAAAAATCAACGAGCAATCATTTTTGCCGAAATGAAAACTGGAATAAAGAGCTGAGAAACAAAATCGAAAAATCGTTATTCTGACCACAAATAACTTCGTATTATTGAATTTGAAGAAAGACAAATACATCCAGCTATCGCGGAAAATATCGATTAATTGTCATACAACATTTAATCGACAAACTGTAACTGACTCATGATTTTTTTTCAGAGCAATATCGATTATTAATTTTTATTTTATTTTATATTTTTCTCATACGCTGATCTGATAAAGTAATACTTTAAAGTAATAAGATTATACTTTCAAATACAATAAAGTTAAATGCACAAATTTGACGCGTTACATTTCAGCGTTTTATGTTAACTTGCAATCATCATTATCATCATCATTCTGTTGCTCCTTATCCTAACGTGTTAGATAATTGTAAAGCATATTTTAAACTGGAACAATATCGGCTGAAGAATCCTTTCGTTTATACTGGTTTTCAAGGTAGACAGAATTACGTTAAAACTCCAAATTTGAACTGGCTGGGTGAGAAAATGGGGAAAAAATTCGATGCAATGAGTGTTGTCCTTCAAAATGATTTCCTCAGACTTTAAATTAGGTTTTTAATTACGGAATTATATCTATATATCTAAAGGAGGTGGTCAAAATATAAATGAAAATATCAAAAGGAATGCTAAAACCATTTCTAGGTTAAAATTATTTTATTTTCTCTTTCTTACCGTATCTCTTTAGAACATGTTAGATCATAGCTTCACATAGTAGATCATATCTTCACAAGGTAGATCATAGCTTCACATGGTAGATCATAGCTTCACATAACTTCCTACCTAAGGATTACTGAAGGTGTAAATTTTAAATTTAAATTTAAACGTAAAAAATAAATTAAAATAAAATTTAATTTTTAAATTTCTGGCGTCCGATGTATCTAGAGGTACAGCTCGGCTGACTACATTCATTTCTTCAACCCTTTTGTTATAATTTGAATATCTGTTGTTTTAAATATCTCACATTGTGATAGCAGTAGAGTTACCATGAATTACTCAGAAATTAGTGCACTTTCTATACATATATCTTTTAAAAAAGTATTTTCTTTTATATTTAAAACAACGTTGTTTACGTCCTTATTATGTTCTTCCCATTTACAATGAATAGGGCACTGGGTGTATTGTCTTGTCAAAGAACCGTTTCTGTTCTTATCTGAACTGATTTCAAGCAATGGATACCGGTATAAAACAGAAATAAACAATGACCTTGACAACTAAATAAAGCGAGAAGAACAGCCCGATCCTCAATAATTAAAAAAAAAGACAGAATGTATGACCGTTAGCAGAAGAGGCAAACTAAGATTCTAACTACGAATTGGAGGCAAAAAGAAACAGGAAACCTTCTTTACAAAGAGAAGACGGTAATATAACCTCTTCTACATGGTATTTGTTATAGTCTCGGTTAGGACCAAGGAAGAACAACACGAACACAAGAGTAGAAATAACGAAGGTATATTACACGAAATAATAATACAAGATGTGGAAGGTGTTAGTATGACTGTCAGTCTGGTTTGGAGTGATCTACAATCGGCTCGACTCGATTCGGTATCTAGCCACCGCCCACGAGGGTTGCATATGGCACAAGGTCGAGTTTAACCTGGGTTTTCCTAGACCGTAGGCTCGTCCAAAAAATGCCCGTAGAACCCGTATAAATGGGATCGGGTTGGTCAACCTCCCCGAACGAGACTCTGCCCTTCGGTGGAGCCTCGTTCGGGTTCCACTCTGCTCAGAGGCAGAGAGTTCGACCGTCAAGCCGAAACGGCTCGACTCGATTTGATATTTACTTGCCCCCCACCCACGAGGGAAAGATGTGGCACAAGGCAGAGTTTTACGTGGGTTTTTCGAGCCTGTAGGCTCGTCCAAAAAATGCCCGTAGAAACTGTAAAAACAGAATCAACCTCTTCGAAAGAGACTCTGCACTTCGGCGGAGCCTCGTCCGGGTTCCTCTCTGCTCAGAAGCTGTGAGTTCGACCGTCAAGCCGAACCGGCTCGATTCGATTCGTCCCCTCTCTCTTGAGAGGCGAAGTATACATAGTGTTAGGAGGAGTTCATTCTGTAGTTATAGGTAATGACCCATGACAGCAGTGTAAGCTGGATAAATTCATTACATTAAGAAAGTCTTGGGACAACAGAAATATAACAAAATTATAATTAAAAAAATAATTTTTAAAGAATTAATGGATTTAATTTTAATTTTTAGTGGGCACACGTATTTGAATAGTCGTTCCGTTTATCTTAAACAGTATTTATTTCGTCTACCAGCATACGTACTTAAAAATTAATAAAGAAAATATGCTTTTCGGCAGGATTCGATCTTATGCCCCCACCTCTTTGAAGTAGGCCACTAACTGATATCGTTATTTTCCATATTGATGGCTGGTTCTTTCTTA